GGGAAAGTCTCTTTCAGAGGATCCAACGGTTGGGAATGAATTTCTCCACAAATGGTTTCTGTGAAAATAGGGTAGCCCAAGTTGCTTTATTTTTCGGTTCCCAAATTGCGCCTTTTTACAAGGGCCAATATAAAACATTACAAGCAATTATCAATAGGATATTGCAAGCAATCCATAAGTCCCCTACCGGTTACATACCACAACTCTGAAGGGAATTGGCCATTCACTTAATGTTTTAATTTTTCTCTATTTTAAGTTAATTTTTTTGGAAAAGTTCCCTTTAAAAAAGTGATCACAGGAAACAGTTTTTATGAACAGGAACAGGACAGAGGACCTGAAAGGACACTCTAAAGTTGTAATATTTGAAACATTTTTTAACATCCCTGTTACTTAAAATATAACATTTTTTAAAAGCAAAATTCTTAAAGAGGAGATAACTCTTGAAAAAAAGATGCAAATTCAAAAAAATGTTCAGCTCTTTTTTGGACTTATTCACAAATATTGCCAATATTTTTTTTGGGGCCCCTTTTTTAAAAGCCTATTTGTTGCCATGGCACCCATTTTTTTCAAAATAGGAAAGAAAAGAAAAAACTTGCAAAAATTTCCAGATGCCAATCTACCCATAAAATTTCCCCAAGTTTCATAAAAAATATTTCCCAGTACTTTTTGTGTTATCACTTGGACTCCAGTTTATGTGTAAAATTTGCCATATTTTCAGCTCCATAAGGTTCCATAGGAACCCAGAAATTTTTTAACATAGGAAGATAGCATAATCTCCAGACTGCCATCCTCCCATAATTTCAAGTTCATAAAAATATTTCAGTACTTTTTTGCGTTATCCACGGATCCAGTTTTATGTGTAAAATTTGCCATATTTTCAGTCTTTTTTGTTGGGCCAAGCAACGGAATTTTCCCAACATTAGGAAGAAAAGAAAAAAAGTGTGCATAATTCCCAATACTGCTATTCTATCCATATATTAAGTTTCAAAAAAATATTTTCAGTACTTTTTGGGTGTTATTCGTGGGATCCAGTTTTTGGTGGACATGACAGACGGACAGACAAGGGCCGGACAGAGGGTAAACCTAAAGTCCCCTCCGGTAAACCCGGTAGGGGACTTACAACAACCTCAAGAACATTTTCTTAAGTCAAAATACTTACTGACTGCACTTTTCCCTTTCCCTCATTGTTTGGTCTACAAACAATTTTTGGTTTTTTTTTTCTCTTGGGCACGTTTAATTTCACCATTTTTTGAGCAGCAGGGGGTCCCCCTGAAAGATCCCTCTCTTCAAACACAGCTGTCCTTTTCAGTATCTTGATAAGCACCCCACCATTTGAATGAATTAATGACACACATATTTAAATTGCAGTTAATAAACTTAGTCCAATATTTTCATTTTAAGGGAAAGTGTGAGAAAAAAATTTACAAAGGTTTGACCCAATGCCTTTTTTGTAATGGTCTCTTGAAGTTGTAACAGATAATGGCATAACACAGTAAATGAATGAATATCTAGATAATTGTATCATATCTCACAAGTTTTATGAATATGGTAAGAAATAAATTAATTCAAGCTGATTTCTAGTCTAACAGCAACCATTATACCATCATATAAACAAAGCTATTCTGCACTTTGCTGGCAGTTCAGTGTTTGATTTTAATATCAAAACCCCTTTAAAAAAATGGACATGTTACAAAAAACTCAAAAGCAATGTTTGTCCTTTAATACATATTTCCATACTTTAATGGTTAAAAGAAAACAAGGTCAAGCATACAAACTAAGGATTTTAAGAAATATCAACTTACTACTTGTACACATAACCAAAGCCCCATCTTGTCTCGACCAAACTTCCAAAAATCTCATGGCAGTTATCAACAATCATCTGTTTTGATGACATCAACAAGGTATTTCTCCTGTCACATAAAATGGTATAAAAACACATGCCACATCTGACTTTCTAATATTCAAACCCCCCCCAAAAAAATTATTTCCTTCCTTGTTTGCTTATATAATTAACAAACACAAATCCGGTACATGTTATAAAGGAAAAATTAAGGTGTCTGACAGAACCTTCAAATTGAACCAACTGCCTAAAGTATTATTTTGCTAGGTAAATGGCTTCAAAACTTCAGGTGGGATTAAAGGGAGGACAGGCAAAATTTTCATTTCTTCTTTTTGAATTTTTCATTCATTATTTTGTAAAATGTCCTCAAAATGAATAACACTGGCAGTCACAGGAACAAACTTTTCTCCTTGTAAAGAATAAAATAGTGGTTTCCTAACTTGACCCATGTGGGTCAGGTTAGAGCATTTAAATGATTTCACAATAGCTGTCCCACAGTGAACATTTTGGAAATTGTTTAAAGAAAACATGTCAAATAAATGAACTTGGACCTACTTCGATCATACAATATCCACAATATCTGTTATTGTAACTTTCAGAGTTTATTCAAGTCACATGACCTGTTTTAAAACTACTCGCCGATTCTGTCGAGGTCAAAATTTCGTTCAACATATATAGATGTTTTTACACTTAAAACCCAAAATATATAGAAATGATACAGAAATTCATTCTGGGCCTTTAAAAAAATGTCATGTTAGTGTGATTTGAGTACATAAGATCATTTTAATATTTTTGCCATTTATTTGCCCGAGTATCCCTTTAAAATATAGAGAGGAGAGTGACAAGTGATTTGAAAATGACAACAGAGATAACTATTGATTTCATTATGAGCCAGAAATATAATGGCAAAGTATTGCCCCAGTATAAAAACATAAAGGCTGGGAAACCATTCTAGTGAATTATATCACATAAATTGCTTTAAAAATATATGAGTGAAACTATTAGTGCCATAAATATATATATATATATATATATATATATATATATATATATATATATATATATATATATATATATATATATTATATATAGTATATATATATATGCAATTAAAAATCTTTAAGACATAGGGGTAAAATTTTGCAAGCATACCTTATATACCATGTACTTCATTATTAGATAAAGCCACTAAGACTGCTTTGAAAAGCTTTAGGGTTTTAAAACAACCACTTCTATAAGTTTGTTTTGATACTCTTTGGTAAACTTCCAGTCCACATTTTCTTTACCCTGTAATATTAAAAATAACATTTTAGCTTGAAATCATCATACTCCTCAATACAAATCATGTAGTAAAAATTGTTCAAGCCACATTTTCTAACCAGATTTGGATACTAACTTTATGTCATACATTCACAATGGAATTACATCAAAGAAATAAGAATAAATTATTCAACAATTGAATTGTCACAAATCTATCTGCAAAATCCCCAATTTCAAAAATTTTGCCTGTTTAACCTACCCACCAGATAGTTAAAAGTATAAAAGATTTAGGAGAAAAAATGCATGTTTTTATCAGCTATAAAAGGGTCTACCTCATACTTCACTTTCCTTTTAGTTTTTACTATTTCTAAAATTTCAGGATAATTTATTCCAGCACATTTAGTGTTGAAGATTAAACACCACTTCAGCAGGTAATGGGGCTGTCAGAAATGTTACACTTTATCTTAATCTCTCATGAACAGACTTAATCAATCACAGTCTGCAATTTTCATACTTTTTAAGAGAAATAAATGCACATGTTACATTTAATGACAAAAACAGGTTACCTTAGAAGTAAAACATTTGAGTGTCTGGTCCATACAGGCTACATAGATTGTTTTGTTGAGTCGTTCCATACCCACTATCTGTGAACTAAGCTCTATACAACCTTTGGCTGGATCATCTAATCCTCTATAATATATTTTATACAAGTTCAATTATGTAAAAGACAAAAATGTAATCAACCTATAAATCTGTCAATTGAACATTTATTAAGATAATATCCAGATGACGTATATCATCATTAAAACAAACAAGCATGATGCTCTAACTTGCAAATTATAAGCTTGTTGTAAGCTCAGGCAAGTATTGAAACAGTTATTATTATTACCCCTCACTTTTTTTGTAATGCTAATTTCCCATAGGCCTCTGGGAGTTATTCTTACTGTTAATGCAAGTGTACCACGTGACTAAGAATTTTGTACTGTTACATAGGTAACAGTATTTTTTAAGAGGTCACATGGTCTATTTCCAAAATAAAATGAACTAAAATGGCCACCATTTTTTTTCAGATTCATTATTATTTTCAATGTTAAACCCCGATAGGACATCAATTTCTCCTCTGGAGTCCCTATGACACTCATAAAATTTATTTGTTTGCACCCTGGTGTGCTTTTCGCGTATAAAATATCTTTTTGCTGAATAGTCCGTTTTCAACGGAAGTAATTGCAATGTAAATAATTATGTGTCAAACTGGAACATGCAGACGATTTAAGCATGCAACAAAGGATTATTTAACAAATTCAATCAGTGAAACGTTACAGATATGGTGGACATAGGATATCATCGTTATTTTGTCAAAAACCATGCTAAGAATATTCTGGAAACAGAAGGATCAGATTTCACAGATCATAACCGTGTAAATGGGTTAGTGTTTTGTTTCCTAAATAAAACCTAGCTTATTGTATGTTTATGATTTGTAGATATCATCACTTGCTTAAAGAATAAAAGAAAAAGAAAACTTCTCAAGTAGGCCTACAGTAAAGTACACTTAAAACTTAAAAGATAAGGACAGTTTAGTTATTGTTACTCTTGGTTTATTTTTGTAGCAGTTAGATTTAGAATCAAGTTGACAATTTCAGATCACCTCAGTATTTTTGTTCGGGGTAATAAAATAAATAACACATGGGTTTGTGAGTAACAGTAAAAATATCATCCCTCGTAAAAATACTGTTACCCTCGGCTACGCCTCGGGTAACAGTATTTTCCTCGGGATGATATTTTTACTGTTACCCACAAACCCATGTGTTATTTATATACTGTCATGACCTTGACAAATGTCGCAAATATAAAGGTTATATATATAACCTTTGCAATTTGCACGAAAAGGCCATCAAAGTGTGTATAAGTGAAATATTACATTAAAATTTTGATTTTGTTTTCTTCTAAAATTTCATTTTTTTGGTTGTGTTTTACAGTCGCTACAATACTGTAAAGGTCATTTGATGTCTTTCCAGTTTTAATGGTGAAGACCGCAAGTGTTTCTCTCAGTCTCTGTGCGTTATTTCAGGCACCTGAGTAGAGTCAACAAAGTTCCATAAGCTAGATGGATAGCTACCTCACATGAAAGAATCCTATGTCCTTAATAGGATTTCACCCCACTGTAGTAAAAGATAAGTGGTTTAAAGTCAACGACCTTTTCCACTAGGACATGGATGCGCTGTTTCTCGTTTGACTAAAACATCTTTCATAGCTTAAATAGACAACTTACCTTTTCAAAGTATAGATACAGCCATTTCTACAAGCTACAACAATTCTATATTCTACATCATACATTCCTGTCACACTTAGGAAAACTGGAACACTCGGTAAATTCATCTGAAAATAGTTTCAAAATACATATGTATTTCAGTTGCTTATCAATGATTTGAAGAGATTTTATATCATGTAAAATTCAGTATATAAAGGTGATAAATAATGTATCTAAGTTACTGTTATGACAATTAAATAATTTTAATGCTTCAAATGCAATCCTGTCACCATTTAGGTGTTTTAAGTTTAACACCCTAAGGCAGAAAGTTTTTACTGATTTTTCATTTAAATCCTACACTATCAATTCTGACAATGATGACAGTCATGAGTGATAACATAGAGCAAGCATGACCTGCATATCTGAGAGCAGTGGCTGGCGCATCTGGGAACAGTGGCCGGTGCCTCTGAGAGCAGTGGCCTGCACAACTGAGAGCACTCTAAGAGCAGTTGCCAGTGCATTTAAGAGCAGTGGCCTGCACAGGCAAGCTGCATCTGAGAGCACATCTGCGAGGTCTGACCAGAATCTACATTGACAACTCAGTTTTATTTTTTTTGGTTTATTTTTCAAAACAAAATCCACTGAACAATAAAAAAGTTTAAACTGAAAGCTGAACAAATACATCAAATAATCTTGGTGGGAAAAATGTTGAATACCTTTCTATCAAATTTGTCACCAATAAATCTATATGAGATTAATAATTTTTTTTTTAATATAAAATCAAAAAGTTTAAATGTACATACAGTAGCAAGAACTGTGAAAGCTTCTGGATCAAGTACATATATAGATTTATCCTCAGTTCCCAGTACTAAACAGCTAATAGCATCTTCCTCTGACATGGATTTCTTCAAGGTACCGAGGCATGTTATCACAGTCTGTCTTTTCAATGGAGAGTTCTTATACACTTCACAAAACTGAACCATGTCACCAGCATCGGTCAGTTGTAAGAATCTCAGTGACCTAACAGTCAGTGCTGAACCGTCAGCTCTGAAAATAAGTAAAATCAACTTATACAACAGAATCACAATGGCAATTTTGATTTATCATCTTATGACAACTTTACTCATTCTAAACACAAACTGAAATAACAGGATCTTCCTCTGGGTTGTATTTATACTGGCATTGATGCATTTTTATCTACTAGAACCTCTCAACCATATATGGTAAACCTTTTGTCATAATATATTTGGTGGACATGTATCTTAAGTTTACTCATATCACTGGTGTTAAGTTGCTCCTTCCATAGAAAACTGTACAAAATTCCAATTTTTTTACATGCTATTTTTATTATATAATTACATGCTATTTTTTTTCAGTTGTAATGTATAAATAATAATTTATATGCATGCATCTTTCAGTAAATAAATAAAGACCCCTAAAACAAGAAAAACCTGTAATTGCCACTATAAAACTGAACTTTAAACAGTCTTTGCTATATTACATTAACAGAATGGTACAATCAACAACAAAAAACACATAGTGCATATATATTCAATTACCTCATTCCTTCCAACATCTCCCTCAATACGTATACATTTATGCGACCCTGGAAAAAAAAGTTTTCAGAGATATATCAAACTGTTGAAAATATATGAATCACTATTTCCTATAAACATCATTTATTATGATAAAAGCTTGATGCTTATTTGAACCACTCTCAAGTCCGCTTCCTTGAACAAACCAGTACTGGTGTCATATGAAAAAACATGGTTGTGAACTGTGTAAGGCTCAAACCAATGATTCCTGGGTTGAGAGACAGAAACCTTAACCAATAGGCCGCCCCATCTTCCTTTAATTTAGATATTTTGAAACATGAGCCAAAAAAAAATGCAAACAAATTCAGTAGCTCAGTCTCTGATTACATTACTTTAAAACTTGTAGACCAGTCCAATTGTAGAATCAAATGTTACAAATGGCAGACTTTTCTAACTGGCCATAGACTTAACTTCAATTTTCAAACATTTAACAATGCAATATACATGTATAATGGTTTCAAAAAGATAAAACATGCTTAAAGAATTCTACAAATATACAGAAAAAATCATTTTCACACTAAAAATCATTTTAAAGGGACTCCACTAAGAATTTTTAACTTCTTTGAAAAAATAATTCATTCATTTGCTCAATCTAGGTATCTTCATTGATATATTTTGTCCTTTTTAAATGCCCCAGTCAATCTTTGCTAGTTTTCAATTTTTATATTTTTAGGCTCCTTTAACAAAATTGAAAATAACATACATCTCTGACTTGATTCCACAAATCTTCTTCCACAGAGTTTACTTCTAGAGGTGGTAATGTAAACTTGAAATATGGACGGAGATTCTTGTAAATATATATAAATGGTCCTGATGCTACGGCTATAGCTGAAATAAAACAAAAATCATTCATATATAAGTATTTTTATGACTGCTTCCTACTTATATAAACCTATTTTAGACATAAGCAACAAAGTTTGTGTTAAGAAAATGTACCAAGTAGAAAATTTTAAGATTTCATCTATGAAATAAATGTCACAAAACAATAACACTGTAGTATTTTGACATTAGCCTTAGGACTTTGAAACCAGTTGGTAACAAACTTCTGTTCGTTATAGGTCCCCTATTCCTGTAACTATACATATTTATTGATAGTAACCCTTGCCCTGCTAGAACGGAAAGTGTTCAGGCAAACTGTGACCAGGCAGTAAATTGTTAGCTGAATATCATTTAATTTTCATCTTCATATTGCCAAAATTGATAACGAACAGTTACATAATTGAAAACTGGAAAAGTCCATTTAAGAAATTTTAGGAAGGTAATTGCTAGGCAATTGTCATTTCATAGATATTTAAAACAAGAGGGCCATGATGGCCCTGGATCGCTCACCTGACCCATCAACCACATCCAAGCAATGTCTTAGACAAGCATCCTGGCCAAGTTTGATGACAACTGAGTCAAACATGTGACCTCTAGTGTGTTAAAAAGGTTTTTTTCCATATTTGGGCAATGTGACCTAATTTTTGACCGAAGACGACCCATATTCAAACTTGACCTAGAAATCATCAAAATAACCTTCCTGACCAATTTCCAGGAAATTTGGATCAAAACTGCAGCCACATGAGTGTTAAAAAGATTTTTCTATTTTCAGCTCCTGTGACCTAGTTTTTAACCGGACATGACCAATCTTCAAAACATGACCTAGAAATCATCAAAACAACCTTCCTGACAAATTTCCAGAATATTTAGATGAAAACTGCAGCCACTAGAGTGTAAACAAGCTTTTTCTATTTTGAGCTCCTGTAGCCTAGTTTTTGACCGGAGATGACCCATCTTCGAACTTGACCTAGAAATCATCAAAACAACCTTCCTGACAAATTTCCAGAATACTTGAATCAAAACTGCAGCCACTAGAGTGTTAACAAGCTTTTTCTATGTTTAGCTCCTGTGACCTACTTTTTGACCAGAGATGACCAATATTCAAACTTGACCTAGAAATCATCAAAACAGCCTTCCTGACAAATTTCCAGGAAATGTGGATCAAAACTGCAGCCACTAGAGTGTAAACAAGCTTTTTCTATTTTTAGCTCCTGTGACCTAGTTTTTAACCGCACATGACCCATCTTCAACCTTGACTTAGATATCATCAAAACAACCTTCCTGACAAATTTCCAGAATATTTGGATCAAAACTGCAGCCACTAGAGTGTTAACAAGCTTTTCTATTTTTAGCTCCTGTGACCTATTTTTTGACCGGGGATGACTCATCTTCAAACTTGACCTAGATATCATCAAAACAACCTTCCTGACAAATTTCCAGAATATTTGAATCAAAACTGCAGCCACTAGAGAATTAACAATCTTTTTCTATTTTTAGCTCCTGTGACCTAGTTTTTGACCGGAGATGACCAATCTTCGAACTTGACCTACAAATCATCAAAACAACCTTCCTGACAAATTTCCAGAATATTTAGATTAAAACTGCAGCCACTTGAGTGTTAACAAGCTTTTTCTATTTTTTAGCTTCTGTGACCTAGTTTTTGACCGGACATGACCCATCTTCGAACTTGACCTAGATATCATCAAAACAACCTTCCTGACAAATTTCCAGAATATTTGGTTCAAAACTGCAGCCTATAGAGTGTTAACAAGCTATTTCTATTTTTAGCTCCTGTGACCTACTTTTTGACTGGAGATGACCCATCTTCGAACTTGACCTAGAAATCATCAAAACAACTTTCCTGACAAATTTCTAGAATATTTCGATGAAAACTGCAGCCACTAGAGTGTAAACAAGCTTTTTTTATTTTTAGCTCCTGTGACCTAGTTTATGACCGGACATGACCCATCTTCGAACTTGACCTAGAAATCATAAAAGCAACCTTCCTGACAAATTTCCAGAATATTTGGATCAAAACTGCAGCCTATAGACTGTTAACAAGCTATTTCTATTTTTAGCTCCTGTGACCTACTTTTTGACCGGAGATGACCCATCTTCGAATTTGACCTAGAAATCATCAAAACAACTTTCCTGACAAATTTCCAGAATATTTGAATCAAAACTGCAGCCACTAGAGTGTTAACAAGCTTTTTCTATTTTTAGCTCCTGTGACCTAGTTTTTAACCGGACATGACCCATCTTCAACCTTGACTTAGATATCATCAAAACAACCTTCCTGACAAATTTCCAGAATATTTGGATCAAAACTGCAGCCACTAGAGTGTTAACAAGCTTTTTCTATTTTTAGCTCCTGTGACCTATTTTTTGACCGGGGATGACTCATCTTCGAACTTGACCTAGATATCATCAAAACAACCTTCCTGACAAATTTCCAGAATATTTGAATCAAAACTGCAGCCACTAGAGAATTAACAATCTTTTTCTATTTTTAGCTCCTGTGACCTAGTTTTTGACCGGAGATGACCCATCTTCAAACTTGACCTACAAATCATCAAAACAACCTTCCTGACAAATTTCCAGAATATTTAGATTAAAACTGCAGCCACTAGAGTGCTAACAAGCTTTTTTCTATTTTTTAGCTCCTGTGACCTAGTTTTTGACTGGACATGACCCATCTTCGAACTTGGATCAAAACTGCAGCCACTAGAGTGTTAACACGCTTTTTCTTTTTTTAGCTCCTGTGACCTAGTTTTTGACCGGAGATGACCCATCTTCGAACTTGACTTAGATATCATCAAAACAACCTTCCTGACAAATTTCCAGAATATTTCGATGAAAACTGCAGCCACTAGAGTGTAAACAAGCTTGTTTTATTTTTAGCTCCTGTGACCTAGTTTATGACCGGACATGACCCATCTTCGAACTTGACCTAGATATCATCAAAACAACCTTCCTGACAAATTTCCAGAATATTTGGATCAAAACTGCAGCCTATAGAGTGTTAACAAGCAATTTCTATTTTTAGCTCCTGTGACCTAGTTTTTGACTGGAGATGACCCATCTTCGAACTTGACCTAGATATCATCAAAACAACTTTCCTGCCAAATTTCCAGAATATTTGAATCAAAACTGCAGCCACTAAAGTGTTAACAAGCTTTTTCTATTTTTAGCTCCAGTGACCTAGTTTTTGACTTGAGATGACCCATCTTCAAACTTGACCTAGAAATCATCAAAACAACCTTCCTGGCAAATTTCCAATATTTTGATGAAAACTGCAGCCACTAGAGTGTTAATAAGCTTTTTCTATTTTTAGCTCCTGTGACCTAGTTTTTAACCCGAGATAACCCATCTTCGAACTTGATCTGTATTTCATTGAGACAAATATTCTGACAAAGTTTGATGATGATCCAATCAAAACTGTGACTGCTAAACTGTTAACAACCCAATTGTTGATGACGCACGACGACGCACGCCGGACATAGCCCCATCACTATACCTCACCTTGACCACTTTGTGGTCAGGTGAGCTTAAAAAGTAGAACAAATGTATAAATACCCGGAGTTCTTGGTTCGTGTGTGTCCATATAGAATGTTACAACACCAGTGGGCAGATCTATTATTGTATTTTCACTGATTAAATCTGTCCCTGAAATAAAATTGACAACTAACATTAGTATTATGATTAGTGAATTACTTTCTTTTGTTGTTTGTGTACCTTGTAAGTAAATAGTTAAGAAGCGTACAATATGTGGATAAAATAGCAAGAAATAAATTACCTTCAAACTAAAAATATACAATATGGTCCTGCAAAAATAAAACAAATAAAAAAAAATTATGTCTTTTTTATATTTTATAACCTTGGTTTGATCTAGAGGAAACTCTGGTTATTCATACCTTTATAAACCTTCAGTTTCATGTTAAAGGAGCCAGAGCCAAGATCTGCAATGATGAGTTTCCAATCCCCATCTGCCTGAATATCTGCCAGTGTTATACACTGAGTAAATGTGTAAAGGGAGGCAACTGGATCATGGTATGCATCAAGCCATTTAGATGTTTTAGCATCACTGAAACAAGAAAAATCAATTGCTGAGCAAGAAAAAACTAATATGATTGACTGATTAATGCCTTGATTACAATAAAAGCAACAACTAGTTCACACTGTGTCTAAGTAAAAGATGTAATCATTGTTTAGCTATAGGATTTTTAAGGATTCCATCAGTACTTTTTTTCTTACTTAATTGGGAAGAGGCCTTAACCTCTTGATTTTGGGAAAAATTATCGCTAGAATTGCTGATTTGGGAAGTAAGCTGGTTTAAGTTCAGATTTTTTGGAAAACTGCATGATCTTAAAGAAAATTTCAATTGTACATTTAAGAACATAAATGAATGTTTTAGGAGAACTATGTTTTTAATGTTATAGCTCTGCTGCAGTGCAAAACTGTCTTCTCCTAAGAAAAAAATACTCTTCGTATAAATAAATGAAGATTATAGGTGTGGGTGCTGACAAAAAATAACACTTTTATAAACAGAAATAAACAAAAACAAATAATTTAGATGTGAAGTATAATGGTAAAGCTTTAATTTAAAGCTTCTACACAGGAATAGTCAGAATGTGGACTTGTCATAATAGACACACACAAAAATAGGAAAGAAAGTTATGCATGATAGTATAAATAAAAACTAAAAACAACTGAGTTTCCTATCTTGAGAACCTTCAGTCTATGTGATAAAGATCTAGTTGTCATCAATTAAGATATTGAAGTATCTGAAAATACTGCAGAAAGTCAGATTTTTATAAATACGTTGTAAACTTGATATGCTGCTTTTTAAGATATTTTTCTTTCATCTGTTGCTGCATTAAGGTTTTGGATTTGACACTTATGAAACCTTACAAGAATTGCACACATGTGTTTAACATCATTTTAATTAAATTTGCAAATTCTCTTTGCACAATCAATTATTGTGCATTATTCAATATTTCAAATCTGAAGTTTTTTACCTATCAATAATAACTAGGGAGTTCATGTCAGAAATTTGTTTTTTATATGTTGATATTTGGCTTAATCCCGCTTATTATAAATATAATAGATTATATATTGTTATATATATATATTGCAAACTTAAGTTCACAAGATCTGCAAAGGTTTCCATTTCAACAGATAATTTATGTCTCATTGAGTGTCCTTTGTAATATGACAGTGTTTATATAAATATATACATGTGCATGCTTAGAAAGTAGTACAGCAGTTCTTGATAAGAGTTTATCTCCAGTATTAAACTTGTAGTCATAGAACACACTTGTGTCTCTTATTTCTCATTAGAGTTATATGTTGTCTACTTGTGATATACTTACATACAAAACCACATAATATTACACTCTTAATTTGTCAATATCCTAGGCAGCACTGTTACTATGTATGACACAAAGTCTCAACAAATGTTTGTTAAGAATTGTAAAACAATTGGATATTTTTAAAACATCAAAGTAAATTGCAAACAGGACATTTCGGCCAGGGCTCTAGCAACTGGGCGATTTGGGCTTTCAGAACTTCGCTGAGTTTGAACATCAAAGCGAAAACGACTTCGTCGCACTTTTTTACTGTTCACATGTACATATATATATCATACAGCGCATGTTAATTAAGTTAATCCTCGCCTCCAGGCATAAATCAAACTGAATTGATGATGCACAGTTACTGCCGATAATTGACATCAATTAACACATTTAAGTGACATGATATGCAGATGCATCGATCATTATTGCCATTTAATTTCCTGATGTAAACATCACATTTTTTAAGCATAATTTTACGACACCTGCCACTATTTTATCAGCGAGTGTAAAAAGATCACACCCGGAATTGCTCTTACCATATTTGACAGTAATTACACGCAACCTCACACAGACCGTGTAAATTTACTTGCATATAAATTAATACACAAAGAAGCAGAAGTAAATGGTTTGATACCTGTTTGATAGTAAAAATAAATTTGTTAAAGAACTTAAAAAATATTGACCCACATTAGACCAATTTTGGACAACAGTAAACTTTGTCTTCAAAAAGTTACATAAATGTCGGTAAATTATGCAGTAAACTACAAATTTGAAAATTTTGTTTTACAATGCCTGTTGCAATAGCAGATGAATAACAATCTAAAAATAATCATTGAATATTTAATTTAATATAATCAAAAATCAACAACAACTAGAATTGTAAGTATTTCTGCAGGAAACAGACAATTTTTCATTTGTCACATATTTACGCAATGCCGATTTTTACGATGAAAAAAATAAAGTTACCAAAAGGAAAATTTGTTTTGTTAAAATGTCTCCAATAGCACTTAAAATGTAGTTTATTAATGAAAATTCCTTAAGGTACTGTTTACATTAATTTTGATTGAGAATTTTGCCAGTATGTGTTGTACAATGAATATTTTCTTAAGGGAGGGGTGTGTGTGGAGTTAATCAGGAAGAAAACATTATAATGGTCTGATGATAGAGGGTTTTAGAATTTATACTTCAAATATCACTATCAATAATTGTGTTTTTAGGTTTATATAAGCTTGGCGCCGGAAATTCCATATGTCCGAGATCTCAGCGTCCATGCCGGTCCACTCTAGAAGTCTCATCGGGGACGTCTTTTTCATGCCGATCTTCCTAAGTCCTGTTCTTCGTTCGATGGAGGAAAGACAATACCGGAAAAGCATCAAGTTCCGTGACGGCTGCAAACAGGCGGTTGACATAAAACGGCTCTTGTTAGCGCCACCCTCCAGAGTTAGTCACGACAGGTCAACCAATCACCTCTGGTACTTAAGATGACTTGACCTTGACCTGCCGTGTGCCTTCTCCGCGACGTGCACGCCTCTGGAGGGATTTGGAGAAGACTATCAATAAATAGGTAAAACTCCTTTTATAGATCAAATCAATGTGCTAAGCCTTTTTCCGTGAGACGTTTCGGCCCTACTATATAGTACAGACAATTAATTAAATTAATTAACAACAATTAATTTAATTACAAATAAACAATTATGACACTTTAAATAAATCTTTAAATAATTATTTATTATCTTTTGATCTCTTGAACCATTTAGATATACGTTTATATTTTTAAAGGTGTAACAAACAATAAAGGCAGGTTAATCCTTAATTTATAAAACAAACCACTAAAACTTCTGGATTAAGAAACTTAGAAAGTTAATTAATTCCTTAGAAAACATTATCTTTTGATCTTAATTAAACTATACGTATTTTTTCAAGGTGTAACTAATTAACTGTTTATAGCTTTATGTAAGTAATATCAGAGAAAACTTCAAAAGATTTTTTGAAAAAAAAACGGTTTGCTATAATCTCCTGATAATATTTTTAATTATTATTGTTTTTAGATAATGATAGATCTATGCTAGATGTTATAAAAGTGATTTGATTATTATAACTATGAAATTTTAATAAACCGGTTTAAAACACAGTACTTATTCTGGGGCCGATTTGGTAAAGTGCAGAAACATCTGGGGCCGAAACGTCTTGGGTAATTTGGGGCCGATATGTCTTAGGGCCGAAACGTCTTGAAATCGAGTAAATTGAATGCATCTGCCAACTCAAAATAGAGTTTTATTATTTGAAAATATAGTTTATCTAACTAGCACTCTAAATTGCTTAGGGTTACAAATCATGGCAACCTGTGAATACATTGTAACTCACTATAAACTGTATTTAACTTGTAAGGGGCACTATCACCTGATTACGGCTGTCAGATCATCTTTTTTTCACGAAAACTATTTAGGAGATGATGTAAAAATACGCCAAAGAGTTTCACCTTTTAAAATTTTCCTGTGATTGTTGTTTAGCTAAATCTATTGTCGACATCTTGATGAATATTGCCTTTCTGATTCTATAAAATCATTTTCTTGTAAAATTTTGGTTGTCGATGAAAACAATTTCTCCGGAAGTAAATGGAAGTGTTTGATTTTAACAGAAATTATTTTTGTAGTATATCATTTATAGAATAAGATAAAGTGTATCTGCATATAGATTCACAAGAACGATATAACGTCTCCAACTAAGATGTTTTCTATTAAAAATATCTTTGAAATATGTTGGATAATAAAACTAGCACTTTTATTCTAAATGCATGAATTCCTTATTTCAAAAAATTTAATTTATTCTGAAACCCATTTTTACTAATCAAGCATATCTTTTTCCTCAGTTATAAGAATTAGGAATATCACGTAGAGTAATTGAATGCTAAACTATAGGTCAATCACCACTATATATTTCTCTTTTCGGAAAAGACTGAGAAGTGGCTATTAATTAATTGTAACACCAAACAAAAATTAATCCCTATAATTGAATAAATTATACTAAACGTGTTTTTGATTCACGATATTTATAATAAAAGTAACACCATATAGCTTTATTTGATTTAATATATACGGTAACTGTGATCTTAGTCTTTGAAAATAACCAGTTATTTAAAAAGTATTTATATTTTAACATCCACCGACAGCCTAAATTTTTCAAAATAATGTATAAAACTTTAAATTCACTACTTAGGTGACCATATATGTCGCTGTTCATAGAATAGGCTGGAAATGTCACCTTGAATGTTCTCTGATGACCGCGGAATGAACATTGCTGCGGGATGTAACGTTGCTTAAACATCATTACATATTTAAATAGTGTGGTTAACTTATGTGATGCCTGGGGAATTGACGTATTATCGACGAGGTGTTCCAAATGTGATGGCAGCTTGCAGTTGCATTTTCACCTACAACGATGGTATTTCTTGAAAGATTTGATTTTATTTATTCTCAAAACAAGGGTAGAGATGCTAGCGTGGACGGTAACTTTCAAAGCAGCTCTAATTTGGAAAATGCTCCGCGTACTGAAAACGGGAGTTTCAAACCTTTTGCATTTTTCTGTTTTCTTATAGAAGCACCATGCGTAGACTCTCTTGAACAACATTATTATTACATAATTTGTCTAGGTAAGTGACAAAATCTATGTGAACTAATCTCGGTAACATTATCATATGATGTCGATGTTTTTCCACAAAACTCAGAGGCACTTGAAAAATGTAGTATCGATTTACTATTAAATCGTAATACGTAGCCGTAATTTAAGATTTTTTATCTGAAGCAAAACTTTGTAAATCGATCACCAAGAAATTTTATTAGGAGAATAGTATGATTCAATAGGGGTTTATCTGATTTCTAACTTAGTTTTGACAAACTACACAGACACATTGTTTATGTAACAAAGCTGCAAAACAACTGAATGTTGTTATAGATATTGAACACATTTCTCTATGAAAACACATCATTACTTATTTTAAATTCCTTTTTTTAAAGATTTAAAATTAATTACTGTTGTCTCAACTAATCTTGCATTTTTATAGTAAGGGCAATATTTAAATAAAAAAAGTTATAATCGAAAGGACTTAAAGAATTGTATTTAATCCTATGAAATTTATAATGATAAATTTACAACTACAGAATTAAAATATTGTGAGAGATACGTGAAATATGTATCAATATCTTGTTATCACCTACAAATGTATGATCTGAAGTAAATGCAAAATCTTCAAAATATTATTTCAGATATCAGAACATTTTAGAGATACCACAAGTCATGAGGTTTTTGGACGTCTACCAAATGAAAAACCAAAGACAAGTAAAAGGATTTGTACAACTGGTCCGCACATGAACTGGCTTCAAAAGTAATGTGTCAAGTGTCAACAACCGCTTAATTGGTCGTTTGTTTGTTTTTAATACTATTATTGTTTTTGTTGAACATTATTTTGCCCCCTCCCCCATCAACTATTTTGGTTCCATCCCTATACACCTATGCATCCTTGTTCATTTCTTGTCCTTTTGATTGGTCGTTTTCTTTGGTGTCTTTATGAGCCCTATATTAACCTATTCCCTGATATAGACGTGTTTTGACGTTTTTTTTTTGTCCCCCCCCCCCTTTTGAGGCCTCAAACAGTGAAAAATGTCCTTTTTAGGCCCCAAACACTGTTTTTCGTTTGAGAAATGTTGTTAAAAAAGTGACCACTTTTTCGGCGCCGCCCCCGTTCAAATGTTACAACAGGGGGTTGCCAGAAGGGGGATGTGCCCCCTTCTATTTGAGGGGTTTGAAGGGGGCGTTAATCTCCCTCATTGCCAAGAAAATTTTGGACATGTGACAGGCTAAAAATGGCCTCAGGTCGATCTTAGGGTAACTAGTAACCGACGCTGAAAAGCCTTTTACTCTATCTCAATTCAATGAGAAGTTGCAGCGCTTTGAAATCAGTTTTGATGGAAAAAAACAATGCATGCAAGATAGTGATTTTTGGCAATTTTGAGACGTTCCCCCGTTGTTATGGTAACAGAAAATTTACGATTGAGCATGCTGTTGTAGAGGCTATGGTCTAGTCAACATTTTTGCCAAGTTTCATTAGTATTGAAGCATTTTTCATATATATAGTTTCATAGCTGTTTGAACTTGTTACAGGAGGCTTTTCAATGAAAACGGCCATTTTTCGCAATATGCTCATGGGGTAAAAGGTTAAATTATTTATAATAACCCCCTGTTGACAAGTGTTGCCCGTGTGTATGTCCTCTCCTACTTTTGTTTGGTACCCTTATCGGCTCCATTCTGGTGCTTCTGTGTTGCTGGTTTTTGTTTGGGGTGCATTCATTAAATGCTAAACGCAAAAGTAGCCTTCATTAAGGTAGATACGATCATTCTCGCGACTGATCTGGAAATATTTGTAATACTTATTCTTTGCAGCCGTATGCTTTCAATCGTTCCTTCAATTTCATAAATTTAAATTTATGAAATGCATGGTTCTATACTTTCACTGTAACATATATATGGACCGATATTCAGTAAACCCAAACCGAATTGGTATTGGATGCTCAACGTGATTTCTTGCATTATGGGTATTTTTCGGATATCACAGAATAAGATTGCACGCACTTCCTTTTCCGAAAATTCACGATGGGTTTCGCCAACATTTGGAACTCGCATCCCAAAAAGTACGGCCCAGGCTCTAGATATTGGTAAGAAATATAATATATAACTTTTGCAGATGTGCATCGTTCTGATGTTTTAATATGAAAGTAAATGACCTGGTGTTACATGCGTGATGAGTGAAATTAAGTGAAGTGTAATAAAATTTCGCGATGTTCACATCGTGCGTGTCTGCTACCACAGGCAACGGTAGTGTTAGTAAGTGTAATCAATTTATATCGTTAGTTTAATAGAAATGTGATGTTTTAGTGAAACGAGATGACTGCTAAGTTGCAAAGATTGTAGTGAACCAGCTTCCCTTCTAGAAATTAAAAAATGGGTGTGAATTTCCCACCTCAATAATAAAGGGATTTGTGCCAATATAAAGTGTATTTGTGTAAAATATGATGTTGATCATATCTTGTCAGTGCTTGTCTTTTCTTAAATTTTTTTAAAGATTCAGCTAGATTTTTTTTTTATCTTGAAAAATCAGACCAGCAACCCTTATTTTCAGGTGCTTTTTGGGGTCTTTCTCTTGTCTATTCACGACACTTACATGTATTTACAAAAAATTCACATGCGCAACAGATATCAGACATAAATACAATGCAATTGGTGCATTTGTCAAAGATATACTATGCTCAAATTTGATATTAGAAAATATTTATAATTGATAAACAGTCTCTTTATAAATAAAAAATAAATATGTTCTGACTCCACACAAAGTAGATATGTTATGTTTTAAGTCATACACACTATAACTTAGTATAAGTGGACCGCACTACTCTATAAATATATACAATCATTAAAAAAAAAATGGCAGTCTTTTTTAGAAAAGACCAACTTGACCTGTAATAGGGAACGAAGCTTGCCATACATAGTTTATTCATTCTTTTATTCAAATGAGACTTATTCAGTAAGAATTTTATATATGTCAATAAATTTCTGTGACTAAAATATTTTACTCATGGTTTAGCATAGTACAACTTTAATAAATTCAGTATTTAAAAGTTCTAAAACTTTAAATTACTTCTTAAATCAACCACTCAAAGATTTTAATAGAGCATCTGAACATTAGCATGGATATTTTCTGTCCCATATGAGCAATATATGTTTCAAAGTCTTACATAAAATTTAACAGCATAATGAATAATTTTTTTTGCTTGTGTTTGATAAATAATTTAATTACAACATCAATATTGATTAGGTCATCAAATGGACTGTAGGTAACCGTAAGCACATTTACACCTGTTCAATTACACATTTTGAGTAGATAATTAGAATTGTCAAATCTAGTGTCTGCTTAAAGTTATGTAGTTTTCGGATGGTGTATGTCCTTGCAGGAGTGTTTCTACCAGACATTTATTTAGGTCACGAATCAATGGGAAGACACAAATCAATGAGAATAAAACATAAGTGCTATCAGACTGCACCCGCCAACTCGACAACAATGAAGCTTTATAAATGCCGGGTTTATGAAAGAAATACATCACTCTTTTACAAATGAATTTTCTGCAGTCTGCACTCGGACATCAACTTTATCCATCATCCCATTTAACCAATGATATTCTTTGAACCAAAATATTTATTAATGGCAACAAGAGTTGTCCCACTTAACTTTTCAACGAAAATATTGATTTATATAATTCACAATTACCTCCCTTCGGTTTTCAGTGTTCATGAAAACAAATAGGCCAACAAGAGATTTTATGCTTTCAGTGTTTCTGCCAGCTCTGATTTTCTGAGGGTCTTTTATGACCCCCTGTATGATATTTTAGGGGTCATTTCAAATTCATAAGGGTCATGCCAATAAATTTAACAAAAATGTAAAAAAAAAAAACAGGTAACACTTTATAAGTTTTATTTACAATATTTTGTATATTTTTCGTGAAGAAATTGGTCAATCTCTGCTATTTTGGATTATTTGTCATCCAATAATAACGCTGTATTTCTTAAAAATTATGTGTGTTAATTTTCATAGAAGAAAGAAAGTCGATACTATATTGAAATTCGTTCATAGTCGCCTTCTATTTTTCATAGTGCTTCATAGTACCGCCTA